TAAGAAGCCAGCCATGCACTTCCGAATCCAATTTTTGCATAACATCCTGCCTACTAACATGCTTTCATCTGGTTGGCTTTTGAAGCCAGAATAGATGTATTCCTTCTTTAATATCCCACTATTCTGTGCATGAGCAGTTAGTGGAAAGAATAAAAATGGCATCTTAAGGAGATTATTATTAACTAGAATTATTTATAAATGCTCATTTTATTACCATATGACTCAATTTCTACTTACAAATAAGAGATTAAATATTTTCTTGGTTATGTTTAAAACTCACTAGATCAGAAGTTCCCAACCGGGGCCCACTGTATTAGAGATGGTGTGGATTTAGTGTCTGTTAAGTGTACTGTGCTTTGGCTTTTTTTTTTTAGACCTGGGACAGTCTAAAACAGTCACATATGTATATATGTGTATAATAGTTATAGTTAAATGGTAAGAGGAAATTATATTATGTAGGGGGCCTTCAAATACTGTGTTGGAAAATGGGGGGCCTTCGAGTCAAAAGGGTTGAAAACCACAGTTCTAGATCCTTAGACATGACGTCATGTTAAAATTGCTTTGACTGCTTTGATAAAAAGACCCTCGTAGCAACTGTAAAGTGTGCTGGTGGAAGCTTTTTTGGTTTTGGGTTACTTTCTGCCTCAGGGCCTGTCAGCTTGGCATCACAGGGTAAACCATGAATCCCACGTTGTACCAGAGGACTAGACCACGTGAGACCATCTGTCAAAATGCAAAAGCTGAAATGTAGACATGTACAAAGCAGATCTTACAATAAAATGACTCAAACCCCCTTAAGCAAAACCACAAAAATAGTCACAAAAAAAAGAAAATGTTGGGCTATCGATTGGAAAAGCGAAATCCAAGACCTCATATTAAGTGGTGAGGGACTTGAAACAGAATGTGCAAGCAAAAAACACACAGTCAAAGGCTCTGCATGGAATATAAAGCAACCATTGTTAATGTAAGACACATATACACCTTAAACACTTACAACAAGTGACTTCTGCCATAAGTAACTCTTGCTTCTTTTTGAATCCTAACTTTTGTTCAGGGTGAACTAAGTGTGCATTTATCCTCTTTGAAAAGTTTTACACCTAAAGAGATCCATGGCTTTTTTGAAAAATATGTTAAAAATGATAGACTCATTTGTGATGAAGAATTATTCAATCATAAAAGTGACCAAGAAAAGTTTTAAAGATTGGTGCCATGTTAAGATCAAATTAACAGCAGATAACTACAGCTGTGGTCAGAATTAATGGCACCCATAAATATGATCAAAAATGGCAGTAAAAAAAATAAATCTGCATTGTTTATCCTTTTGATCTTTCATTCCAAAAATTGGACAATTGACAATTACACCCATAATGGCATCGGAAACTGAAACTTTTCACTTTTGCATGACACTGCATCTGGTGTCTGTATAAAGCCAAAGACCAATGTTGTATCAGCAAGTGAAACGTAAAAAAAAAAATACTAAGTGCACCATTAAGAATAAATATCCAAAAAAAAAACACCTTAGTCCCAAAAAGGGCAGTCGTGGCCTAATGGTTGGAGAGTTGGACGTTTGATTCTCAATAGTATTACCAGCAGTAGCAGGAAATGACTGAGGTGCCCTTGAGCAAAGCACCTAACCCCCAATTGACCTATCACTAAGCCCCGCCCCCTTTAGTTACTGTTGCGAACTCTGACAAACAAACAGAGTTACTAACTGTCTTACAATGACAGCTGTCAGTGTGAAAACCTTGTCCCAAGATGTTTTTGATAAATTTCACCTCTCATCGAGGATCATTCATGTGGTACTTAAATATGCCATGGAGGGATATATAAAATATTTTAAAATAAAAATGGTGGGTAACAAGATTGATTTGGAAGCAAGGGTTTAGACAGATCACAATGCAAGCGGGAGAAGCCTCATGTTACGGTCGTCACGATCGCAGATGAACAACATCCAGGATCAACACTGTTCATGTACCGCAGGGTGAGATTAAATTAATTTACATTTAACTAGTTTAATATGGAGAGGCACTGAATTGTAGACCTTCATTTATGTGTTTTTGACCTACTCTGTACAGTTAAAGTTAGCTATTTATGTTTGTACGTTAACATGGACTCGCTGATTTTAATTGTAACTTAATGAGAGTATGACAACCAGAAAATGAACGTTTTCTCTTTATTGGGATTGGGGTTGAATCCTTAGGGAACCAGGGTACTGCGCACACATCAGTGATAAATTAACTGAGCTTCAGTCACAGATAATTGGTCCGTTCACATAAATACAGGTCCTTCTCAAAAAATTAGCATATTGTGATAAAGTTCATTATTTTCCATAATGTAATGATAAAAATTAAACTTTCATATATTTTAGATTCATTGCACACGAACTGAAATATTTCAGGTCTATTATTGTTTTAATACTGATGATTTTGGCATACAGCTCAGGAAAACCCAAAATTCCTGTCTCAAAAAATTAGCATATCATGAAAAGGGTCTCTAAACAAGCTATTAACCTAATCATCTGAATCAACTAATTAACTCTAAACACCTGCAAAAGATTCCTGAGGCTTTTAAAAACTCCCAGCCTGTTTCATTACTCAAAACCGCAATCATGGGTAAGACTGCCGACCTGACTGCTGTCCAGAAGGCCATCATTGACACCCTCAAGCAAGAGGGTAAGACACAGAAAGAAATTTCTGAACAAATAGGCTGTTCCCAGAGTGCTGTATCAAGGCACCTCTGTGGGAAGCAAAAAGTGTGGCAAAAAACGCTGCACAACGAGAAGAGGTGACCGGAGCCTGAGGAAGATTGTGGAGAAGGACCGATTCCAGACCTTGGGGGACCTGCGGAAGCAGTGGACTGAGTCTGGAGTAGAAACATCCAGAGCCACCGTGCACAGGCGTGTGCAGGAAATGGGCTACAGGTGCCGCATTCCCCAGGTCAAGCCATTTTTGAACCAGAAACAGCGGCAGAAGCGCCTGACCTGGGCTACAGAGAAGCAGCACTAGACTGTTGCTCAGTTTTGCATGTCATTCGGAAATCAAGGTGCCAGAGTCTGGAGGAAGACTGGGGAGAAGCGAATGCCAAAATGCCTGAAGTCCAGTGTCAAGTACCCACAGTCAGTGATGGTCTGGGGTGCCATGTTAGCTGCTGGTGTTGGTGCACTGTGTTTTATCAAGGGCAGGGTCAATGCAGCTAGCCATCAGGAGATTTTGGAGCACTTCATGCTTCCATCTGCTGAAAAGCTTTATGGAGATGAAGATTTCATTTTTCAGCACGACCTGGCACCTGCTCACAGTGCCAAAACCACTGGTAAATGGTTTACTGACCATGGTATTACTGTGCTCAATTGGCCTGCCAACTCTCCTGACCTGAACCCCATAAAGAATCTGTGGGATATTGTGAAGAGAAAGTTGAGAGACGCAAGACCCAACACTCTGGATGAGCTTAAGGCCACAAATCGAAGCATCCTGGCCCTCCATAACACCTCAGCAGTGCCACAGGCTGATTGCCTCCATGCCATGCCGCATTGAAGCAGTCAAAAGGATTCCCGACCAAGTATTGACTATTGAGTGCATATCTGAACATAATTATTTGAAGGTTGACTTTTTTTTTTGTATTAAAAACACTTATTTTATTGGTCGGATGAAATATGCTAATTTTTTGAGACAGGAATTTTGGGTTTTCATGAGCTGTATGCCAAAATCATCAGTATTAAAACAATAAAAGACCTGAAATATTTCAGTTGGTGTGCAATGAATCTAAAATATATGAAAGTTTAATTTTTATCATTACAGTATGGAAAATAATGAACTATCACAATATGCTAATTTTTTGAGAAGGACCTGTATTATCTTTTGAAACGCTCTGGTGAACACGCGCACATTACGGTGATTCAAAACATGCCCATCCTCTTGGGATACCGGGAATCAGTGTTACAAGTACCCCAGGCACATCGTTTTACCATTTTTGTAGCATAAACACCATCAAAACGATGAAAGCATCGGATCTTCCAATATTTCTCTATGGCACTGGAACCTAAAGACGTCCAAGTTTTGGTCCCCGTGAAACTGATCCTCAACTGCCATTGGCTCATCTGCGTTCGAGTGGAGGGGCTTACCGATAGAGACAGAGCGTATTTAGGCCATGCCCACACCGGGGGTGGGGGGGGTGGGGGGGGCGGGGGTTTTGGGGGTGGACAATCCAACCGTCTCCATTGACTTTGCATTGCGAGAGGCTGCCTCCTTGTCATTTATGACTTACAACAAAAAACAAAACAATGTCTAAAAGCTGCTATGTGACAAGGTGTACACCAAACAAGCTAAATAACCAAGAAATAAATTTGCCACCGCAAAATGGCTGCCCACTGCTCCGTGTGTGTGTGTCACAGTTTTCAGTTTTCAGTGTGTGTGTTCACTACTCACTAATGTGTCCTAATGTGTTTGCACTAACTTGGATGGGTTAAATACAGAGGGCAAATTTCGAGTATGGGTTGCCATACTTGGCCTTCACGTCACTTCACTTCAAATTGATTGATCTTAAAAGTAAAAACTGACAAAAAGTAATGGGTTTAAAAAAAAAATGTTTAGCTTGGATACGAGAATGGCTTCTTCTGAACCACCATGTCTACTGAAATATTCAGTGAATTTTATTACGTTTTCATGCACATGTAATTTTTGTCTCTTTAATAATTTTTGGAGTGTGCATGAGAGCTGAGGGAAAAAAGATACCTCAAGCTTCGGTTCTCTGGCTTTTGCAAAATGATTACAGCTCTGGAGTGTTTGAACCCAGGAAAAACAGTGTTTTACCTGGCACCTGTGCTACTCTCCAAATGGAGCGAGAACACTGATCGCAGAGTCGTTCATCATTTCAGAATTGAGCAGAGGCAACCATGCATACGGACTACATCTGCTGTCCACACTCACTCTAAGTTACCCTTTATTTTCTGTACCTTACATTTTTCAAGGGAAAGTAAATGATAAAATTACTTTTATTTTGCTCACCTTGCAGTTGCTCAATGAGGGTCCATGCCATTCTGGAGCCCTGGGCGTCAAACACCACATGACCCTGAGAGAGAACAAAAAAATTTGTATAGCTCTGTGTATACTTCTCTCTTAAATTGAGTTTGTTAGCATCAGTGTTATTTTAGTATTATTTATATGCTATTATGGTATTTTTTTTATATATATTAAATTAGCTTTTATTTTTATATATTCAGTTTTCATTTCATTTTTACTTTAACCCTGTAAAACCTGACATATGAAATAATAGTCATAAAATAATCTTTTTTAAACGTTTACTGAACCTTTAGACAAAATATAAAGAAAATCTAAGAAAGAAAGAAACATTTGCATGTGTGTGTTCAGTATCATATTTGATATCCCAGGTTTTTATGGCTCATACAGTATGATATAGGAGAATATGGAGCTTATATTTGAGGAGGAAAAAACAGAGGCCCAAACTGAGCAAAAATTACAATTTGGTGCAATTATTTTTTAAACTGCAAGTATTTATACAGTTTGAGTATAGAATACTACTTACATAAAATCCTATAAACATCAGTTGTCACTCTATATCTCCCAATGATATGTAATATAAGAATATAAAAAAATATTGAAATGCTTAGTTTTATAATCAAAGCTCTGTAGTTTTATTGGGGGGGGTTTATTGGTAGTTGGTAGTTTTTTCTATTTAAAAAAAATAATAATTTACATATTATTTAATGCAATACATACAACGATGATTGAGAGATGTACTTTAAACTTTCCTCAAAAGTATGTTTTATAATATTTTATATAATATTACTACGGTTATAAAAATCAATAAAGATTTCATTACAAAAAGACATGTCTATAATGACCTAAGAATAATACAAAAAGGCCTTTTACTTGCTAAAAAAGTCATAAGATCACAATTCATGTAGTAGATTGTGTTCAACAGTTTTAATCATGTTGATAATTTAGAGGCCACATAGATGGGCATATCAAATGTGATTTTGTGTATTTATAGGGTTAAGTTTTAGTACTTTTTTTAAGCTTAAGTTCTTCATCTAATATTTATATTTTATTTTATGTCTGCTTTATTTTAATTTATTATTATTACTATTATTATTCGTTATTTTTTTATTAACAATAACAACACCGGTTAATATTTTGGTTTTTGCTGTGGTATCACAATTGCATATGACAATTGCGTATCATTAAATTTAACTGCCACAGACTACTGAACCTTTGGTATCATGACGACTTTAGTACCTTCATATCCAATTATTATTTAGCCAGTGCTGTCACTCACCGAAACCCCCTCGAAGGAGCTAGTGTTGAGGGCTCTGTAGATCTCTGCCGTGATGTCCTTGTTATTGTAATTAAAGTCTTCCAATCTGCGGCCTTTTGCCTTCAAGGGACCCACTGTCTTATTGAGCGCCAGAGCCAGGGCCCATACTGCATCATACGCCAGAGGAGCTTCCTGAAACCCTCCAGTTTCCTCTGGATTTTTCCCACCCAGCTTGGACATCAGCTGCGCTAGGAACTCCTGTGAGGTCTGGATCAAAAGAGCGGACATACGGTATCATCTGGCATGCATATGGATGCGTACAAACATGGCAAAAATGTAGTGCACTAACAAGGGCTTATGCTTGATGGATTTTAAGCATGACATCATTGTCATTATAAAAGCACTGAATTGAAAAAAGCGCCAGGCTTCCGGCAGCAAGAAAGCGAGAGAGAGAGAGGTCAAGGTAAGTTACAGTACAGTTCATCACCATGGGAGTGCATCATATAGACGGAGGTACTTTTCTCCTGGGTGTGAAATCTTCATTCACACACACCATGACCTGAGGCGCCAAAAATAAACTCCCGCTTTCACACACACTCTGAAGATGTTCCATGTCATTAAGGGGGTACTGGGAAAAGAAATAGAGTTGGCGCGCTCTTATCGTGGCGGCATACAAAAAACGATTTCCTTGACATTTTTCACACCTTATAGAAACAGCTGAGGCACCTCCCTTGCTTCAAACAGGTGCATTTTAGGAAATGAGCCAAGCTGCAGATGGGCATCTGGTGATTGCTTGATGCAAATGGACAGTGGAGAACAGTGTGTGTGTGTATAGAAACTACGGCGTAAAGATGCATTTCAGCTTTCTTGAAATTACAGCCTCAAAGTGAGGGACAGTAAACCAAGGATGAGGGGAACAAATTATGGTGGTGTTGAGGCAATCTAGCATGGGCATTTTATCACAAATTGTCCTGTCCAACATGACTGTCTTTTTACGTCAGATTTGAAGCATAGGTGTCTGGATAAGTGCCCAGATTGAGCCGGATCCAGGAAAACAGCAGGGACATATGCATGCGAGCCAATTCCCAGCACAGAGCACCGGAGTTGGGTGGGCTCCAGACAGCACCCCCCTGGAGCTCACACCTGTCCATCCAGCGCTCCCAGGGGTACAACAGTTGGACCTGAATGCTCTGACCCCTACGGGACTCTTCGGATTTACAGATCTGAGAATAGCTAAAGTTATAACGGTAGGTTATGGGCTATTCCCAGTGGGAAAACGTTATCTAACTTGGTTATCTAAACAGAATTAAGCTTGTCTACGCCACACTTATCTGAGGATGATGTCATTGTAAACAGTGCAGCATATAGGAACACGCAGGACACTGTTGGTTAATTTTGATGGATTTTTCAATGGTCGATGAGGACATTAAGAGTAGGATGGCTGATGGCCAATAGATACAGTCAGAACAGAATTCATTGATGCCAAATAAGAATATATAAAGAAATAAAGATTTTACAAAGAAAATTCAAGTTGCTGAAGTGTTTTGTGGTTATTAGCATGTTGCTATGCGGTTGCAAATATGGCTTATGTTTGTTAATATGCCCCCCCCCATCATACACTAGGCGCAATGCAGCGCCTGTGACGCAAGTGTTTTTTGCTAGTATCAGCCCGACGCAGTTATCATTTTCACATCCTGTGCCACGTTGTTTAAATAGCAAATGCATTTGCGCCCATCTGTGCTGGTGCTGGTCTGAAAACGAGGTGTGTTCAGGCGCATTGTTGGCGCATTGCTATTTTGAGGCAACTGAAATATTGAAACGCAATATTGTTTTGTTATTTAAAGAGCGCGTTAGTAATATGCACCTTTAACCACGCGCACGAGCAGATCCGTTTCCTCGCTAGAGAAGCGTTTCGTTTTTTCCGCTTGCAAATTCCTCCATGTAAATTGCGCATCTGCTATGGCACAAGCGCAACTGGCTTTTAAAGGGAATGGGAGATGAGACTCTGATTGGTTTATTGCACGTTACACACGAAACATACCCATTACTCATTAAGAGAACAGAACAACCCTTTTAGACCATGCAACCTTTTTCCCCGTCGTTAAACTAGCAAAACTGATGCCTACAGAGAAGAGGTTCAGCACCTGGTAGAGTGGTGTGCAACCAATAATCTTATACTCAATACCCAGAAAACCAAGGAGCTGATTATGGACTATCGGCGGACTAAGAAAGGCTACACACACACTCCCATTTATATTAATGGGTTTCAAGTGGAACGAGTGACTAGTTTCAAATTTCTAGGTGTTCATATTTCTGAGGATTTTACCTGGACCATCAACACTTCTAGTCTCATTAAAAAGGCACAACAGCGCCTCTACTTCCTTAGGAAATTAAAGAAAGCCCATCTGTCCCCTACTATACTGCAGAACTTCAACCTATGCGTAATTCAAAGCATCCTAACAAACTGCATCACAGTGTGGTATGGCAACTGCACTGTCTCAGACCAGAAATCCCTCCAGCGTGTGGTCAAAACGGCCCAAAATATTATTGGTGCTAAATTGCCCTTGATGCAAGACATTTATCTTAAGCGATGCCTACGAAGGGTAAGATGCATTATCAAAGACACATCTCATCCCACCCATGGACTATTCACTCTTCTCCCATCTGGGAGACGATATAGGAGCTTTCGCTGTCGCATGAGCAGATTCAGGAACAGTTTCTGCCCATCTGCGGTCAAGATACTAAACACTACACTAAATATGAGAAACACTACATCCAACTCAGACCTTGTCTAAAAGGGAAAAGGGAGGCAATAATTTTTTCTCCTGTATTTTACCATCTGATGCCATCTTGCACTGCTGTGGTCACTGGCCAGTTACATATACTCCAACCTCCAATTTTGAGACATTGCATTGAGCTGGTCTCTGCAACTGTACTTTATTAGCTTTTTTAGAAATGTTTCTTTTTAAATTATTACTACTGTTCCTGGTCAGATGCTAACTATGTTTCATTGGCTCTGTACTTGTATTTTGTCAATGACAATAAAGTGAATCTGAATCTGAATCTGAAAAGGGGATTCGGACACGCCCTATATGCACTTGCGCCGTGATCGTTAAAATAGGGCCCTTTAAGTCTGATTGCTTCAAAAAGTAATGCTTCATGATTTGAGATACCATTCAAGCCAACAGCACAAATGTGCCAAGGTCTGGGCCTAGCCACAGGAGATTCTTAAGGAATTCTTATATTTAGGATCAATGAGAGCCAGGAAATAAAACATTATTCAGGCCCACTTACCAGGTTAGAGGCCCCTCGCACCGTCTCTGGATTGAGCATGACTATCTCAGTGGTCACATGGCCCTCCACAGCTTCTGTCATCTGTTCCACTGTGCAGTTGATGGATGGGTCTTTGATCTTGAACCAGTTGTCAGCATACCAGCCAATCAGAAACCACACATATTTTTTCCCATACAGTTTCTCCTTATAGACCTGCAGTTGGGTTGTGTGAAACAGGTTGGGTTAGGGAACGACTTGAATGAAAAGAATGAAAAATGAACAGAAACTCCATGTTTCCCCTTTGACATTGACATAGATTAATCATGATCAGCTGGATGGCTGATTACCGACCTCACAAAAAACTTTCCTGGCTTCCGTTTCGTAAAACAGTCCCACAATGATGCGCGCATCTTGCCGCTGTAGGAGCAGAGCAAGAATTGATGATTAGAACAAAGAAATGAATGCAACAAATTTGCAAAAGTCAGTGAATTAGCATGAGAGGGAGGTCCCCTTAGTATTTGAGAGTGCTACTATGCATAACACTGCAGTAATTTTGGTTTGGACAAGCAGTCCAATCAGTGCTACTTTCCCCTCTCAGCAGTGTGCTATTCCAGGTTACCATGGTTCCTCTGCTGGTACTCCATTAATCTTGTGCGCCAAAACTAGGGCGGCACACATGGCAGGCCTTTGCTAAACAGGCAGCCAGGGGCCCAGGCGTCACTGGAGAGAGCAGGATGGGGAAGCGGTAGGGCTTGGGGGGAACAGATCATCTGACCCATGTTCCAATTAAAATGATTCTCCTCAAGAATAAGATCAGATTCCCACACTGTTGTATTTTTCTCCCGGACTTAAATGATGTCCTTTGGCGTGACAGTCCCAGAGCTAGCCAATCACAATAAAGGTGCATATTCCTGTGTTTATATCTGGAAGTGTTTATGGGGGGCACAAAAAGAAAAAGAAAGAAAAAAAAATTTGCTTAAAGAAAAATATTAGGTTATTCTTAACAAATATTGAGAATAGGTTTTTGTTAATGTTAAATATACCTAACTGTCATGGAATTAATTAAAGGTAATGTGTTGTGTCAATATAATTTCTTGTATTTTTTACATCTGATTTTGGGTTGAGATGTGACCTGGTGTTTTAGTGAGATTCACCATTAAAGACTTTTGAGTCTATGTGTGTTTCGCATCTGAGAATCATAGGATGCTGTTGAGGAGGGTGCTGATCTGATTGCTCTACCGTAGCACTGACGGGAACACCTGTACTTTGCCGTGGCAGTGAGGTCATAAATGAAATGAGTGAAAGTGAAAGCACCTTGAGGTTCTTGACGGCCACAGCAGGATCCGTGAGGAAACTTTGCCTCACACTGATCTCAATGCCTGCCTCCTTCACCCTCTGCTCTAGATCATCCAGAGTCTGTGAGAGAGAGAGAGATTAAAGGAGAATTGAGAAAGAGAGGGAGGGAAAGTAAAGAGCATGGAGACAAGAAAAAACATTCGCAGATGAGTGAGGGAGGTGATGTCGGGTAGAAAAAGCAAGAGACGGGAGAGAATATTATTGTGGCAGAAAGGCAGAGATAAGACAGGAATGGAGAAAGAAAACGAGGAAAAAAGGAAAATTAGAAAGAGACTGGCGGATTTAATTTCTTTTGTTGGGGCTTGTTTACTGTCCTGTGTGTACCAATAAAACAAGCGTGTACATTTTAATACAGTCTGTGTAACCTCAGGCTGCAGAGTGCAGGAGGAAACAAAGGAATAGAGCCATGCCTACATCAGCTACAGCCCACAATCCCAGATGTTATCTTATACAGCACACAAGTACACTTTACCTACATAGCATACAAAAATACATGCTATACACTGAAGTAAACGATGTGCTTCTGAAACTCTCAATTACATAAACACAGCTTGTCTGAGTTGCACAACCAGGCATCAGGCATTCACTGCATATTGTTTTACAACTTCCAGGGACAAGGACAAGGTTTCTGTCCACACTAGAAGAAAAACACTGAGTATAATTTGATACAATCTAGCCAAGATGACAGCATAGATCAAAATAGACCCTTTTTACTTCCCTTTAAAATAATGTTCCTTGTATCTTATTGTGCGCAATTTATTCAAAATATGGCAGTTTCAATGTGAAGTGGGTTTTAATTTTATTCAAAAAGCATTTTTTGTTTATTCAGAATTATTCGATTAGATTCAATAGTACTTTGTATAATTTAATTTAAATATATTTTATATAAATATAAATAATTTGAATCAATCACAAAATGATTCGATTTCATCAACAAACATTTCATTTAGTATTTTTTAATATGCATGTATAGAATTCTTTAAAAACTTCCCTTAAAGCATCTTAGTAAGGGAAAAGAAGGCAATCTACTTCAGACTGTTTAGTGCACCAAAAGCTCAAGGACACATGATAATAAATGAGAGAAGCAATAGATGACTCAATTATTTTAAACTTAAATGTTTTCTGCACAAAAAGTCACCAACTAAACAATAATACAAGTAAAATGTAGAAAATAGAATTTAAAGAAAATAATGCAGTCAAGTTTTCATGCAATGAAAGCATTTTATTTCAGTTGAGGTCATGTAATTGAGATGGCATTTTTAGTCATATTTCATGACCGATGCTAATTGATTTTTTAATGAGAAACAGTGTGAATCGTTACATATGGAGCCCGTATGTATTACATTTCTGTACTTGTGTGAATAAACTCAATTAATTAATGCATAGTATCTTGGGGGAACACAATAGTTTTGCCAGTGTGAATATTTTGTAAAAGAATTTCAATGCATTGAAATATAATTTTTCTTTCCATCTCAGAATTGTATCCATTACCATACAGGGTCCCTCAGACCTGTAGGGTCTCTGTAGTTGCACGCCATTTTCAAAGAATGTTTTCATAAGTCAAGCTCTGAAACAACTTTCCTTTTTTTTGCTGATGTAAATAAGACTTATTTATATTTTGAACAAAGAGTGCCACACTATTGACTGCAAACTCTGATATGAAATGCCCACCTGACATGAATTCCGAATGGATGAAAATCAAGTCCTGCCCTACACTTTTTGTCCTCAATGAATATTTGGGTTCACTTGGAAATATACTTTTACAATTAAAATTGGTCACATTATATAAGTTAACTTGGTTGTGAATACCATTTAATGCTTTAATAAGACTTTGATGTATGCAGAGCAGGATTATGGACCAATAGGATTCCACAGTGGGTGGGGTTACTTAGGACAACATACAATAAACAAGCAACAATCCTCGCTTGTAGCAGCTGATTAGGACACCTCCTCCTAAACACTGGTCAAAGTATGGAAAATAATTTCGGTTTGACCCCTGTTGTGCAATAGTCTGCAAGCTTATCATTGAATAATTATTGCTTTTAAACATCTTTAAACATCTCACTCACAGAGGTGAAGACCTCAGTGGTCTGCTGGATGGTGGCGATCTTGGTCCACTTCCACTTCTGGAAGAGCTGCACGCGGGTGGGGTTGTGCAATGTGGCTGAGGGGTGCGTGCGGAAGAAGGTGGGGAAACGCTGGCGGTTGGAGAGAGCTGGTGAACTGGATCCATAGGACAACTGCAAGCAAATGAGAAATGCATAAGAGAAAGACATAAACACACTGTACAGACACTGAGACTTTTGAAGGAAAATTAGAAACAAGCGAGTCAAGAAAACTGTGCGATAAAATCACCTGCAGGAAAACCAGTGCCCAAGGGGCTAAATTATCTCCTGCACAGTTCACTCGGAACAGCTTTATTTAACATTGGGGACCGTAGTGTGTGAGACAGGCGTAAAAAGCTGTGATAAAAAAAATTAAATGCAAAACAGAGGTGTAAAATAAAATATTTCCTGTTTTAAGTGCAGCACCGACATCAGTCAAAAACTGATGACAGCAGAGGGTTTTTTTAGATATTTTGCCAATAACTCAATGTCATTCCCAGATGCAGCTAGATGTCGTTGAGTGACAGGTCTGCTGAGGGGGTGGAAAAAGGGAGGGTTTCAAGGCCAGCGGGGGGATATATAGGTCAAAACTCATATGTGAAGAGAAAAAGCTCTCAACAGATATAAAAATAGAGCAGAGCATGAAAAATAAAGAGACTGATTTTCAAAAAGAAAAAAGAAGATGAGGCATTGGGAGTGCACTTCAAAGACGTGCCAAAAGCGAAATAAAATTACATAAATATCTGATCCAAATTGTCTGGAAGCCATTTCACTGATTTTGGGTATTTGTACGAAGTGCTGCATGTTCTGAAATGGGAGCGCATTTAGGTAGCTCATCTTAACTGTGGTATTACACTTTCAGTGATCCGACCTGCTGGAGAGTTCGGTTTGTGATGCACAGTGTCATACTGAAGCCATCAATACCAAATGCAGGGGACTAGAGGTATGTTCCCCCCCTTTAATGCAATTAATCCTGCCTCCTGATGAGTACATTCAATTTGTACACGTCCTGTCTGATCGGCCTCAGAGAGACTGACAAACGTAACTAAATTAATTGCTGTGGGCTGTAAGTCAGTGATTGGAGATTGGTTTATGTTCAGTAATATGAAATTAAACAAACAATACATTTGAATGTCTTCTAAGCAAATATTTATATAGCCTATGCAATTAATTCAACAAATTAATCTGAATATCATTCAGTTAATTTGATTGAAATACGTAATCGATTGACAACCAATCAGTAAGAATTTTATTTTTTTAAGAAGTCTCATATGTTCACCCAGGCTGAATTTATTTGATCAAAAATACAATAAAAACAGTTATATTGTTAAAGATTATTACAATTTAAAACAACTATTAGAATTCTATTGTAAAATAGAACAATTTGGATGCTTTGATAAATATAGTTGAAAAAAATAGCATTTATTTGAAATATAATTTTTTGTGTAACATTATAAATGTCTTTACTGCCCCTTTTGATCAATTAATGCATCTTTGCTGAATAAAAGTAGCCTATTATTTCTTTCATAAAAAAACGTCTCGGGTTACAAATGTAACCATGGTTCCCTGAGAAGGGGAACGAGACTGGGGAATGCCTCCGGCATGACCAGTGTCTAAAGCATGTGTCAAAACACAACAATAACATTGGCCAGCGACAGCCTATGACGTCACTACTGGTGGGACTAGAGTATAAATAGGGCGCCTGTAGTACATAAATACAATTCTTGTCTGAAGCAGACCTGGGCAGGCACACCTGAAGCATGGCAATGAGACGCAGTGTCTCGTTCCCCTTCTCAGGGAACCATTGTTACATTCATAAACCGAAACGTTCCCTTTCGAATGGGAAGTTGCACTGCATCCTAGGACGCTAATAGGGAACAAATGCCCACTCCGCCATGCTGAAGGAATGAGTGTCGGCAGTGTCTCGTTCCCCTTCTCAGGGAACCATGGTTACATTCATAAACCGAAACGTTCCCTTTCGAATGGGAAGTTGCACTGCATCCTAGGACGCTAATAGGGAACAAATGCCCACTCCGCCATGCTGAAGGAATGAGTGTCGTATGGCTGACATAAGTCAGTGACTTCAGAGGAACTGATCCGGAGTCACAGTTCCCCTTCCTAACAGTACGTACCAGCAGTAGTCGTGACTCTATTCCCTAGGGCCAGAAACTCTGGCTACATCGGGCAGCTTAGCTCAGGTATTCAAAGAATACCTTAAAGGGAATATGGCCAAGGATATAAATATACCCTGCCAGTCGCCACAGGAGACACACCCCTGACGACACATCCTTTCGACAAACAAACCATTGGAATAAGTGAATTCACAGCCATTTTGTCATCAGTATAAACCTTGTTTTTCAACATTCCTCAACATTCTTTCAATGACAGCTTATCTCTAAACATTCAAAGTGAACCCACCACTATAAGGTTCCACATACGAGCAGCCTCGGCCACCAGTGTGGACACAGAGCTGCAGCCAGGCATCAAAACGATTTTTATGGGCTCCGTGTACAGCAGGTCATACAGCAGCTTTGTGGCCTCTCCAGGATCACACTGAAAGCAGAGAGAGAGAGAAAAACATTGAAATATATAATCTATATTCAGATTTGAAGTACAGCTGTCACTATTCATGAGGCATTCTGTCACTTCATGCACAAAACTGCAGACTTCAACAAAAAAAAAAAAACAACAACACATTTCACACTGTATATACATTTTCTGCAACAGTATAAGAACCCCCATAGGGAGAGAGACTTCATTTCATACTGAATCACATAAGTAGAGATAAATATGCATTGGAAAGCAGAATAAAAAGGAGCAGAGACAGATAAAGCAATAAATATGCATACTGTAGAGGGGAAAGCTGCAGTCTTCCAAGGACACATGCATTTGCCCATATATACACACACCAAGAAACAATGTTTGTTTGCTGGACATGTACCCTCATCAGTCTTTAACCCGACATTGACAATCAGCATCTTTTTTTCCCCCATTTGTCTTAAAATTACTGTCTATGAAAGATCAATATCTCCTTTAAATGATAATAGTAGGTTAAGGCCACAATTGATCATGTGTTGAGAGTAAACCGGGTTGCAGCCAGTGGCCTTGAGCACAGCCAGAATTTCTAAAGCTGAGCTTTTGTTTAGTTTCTGTTGTTCTGGGAACAGAGAGCAGCTTAAACAGGAGCAAAACCTATAAAGAATAAAAATGATTCAAGGCTTGATTGGTGCAATCACAAATTCAATTGGCAGGACCATGTGGCGACTGACTGCTCTTTACTTATTGGCGTCTAATCTGGCATCCTTATCCTGAGACACATCTCTATTTCTGTTTCTCCCGATGATTTTAATTTCTTCTAAACATACAGCTAAATCACTCCAATTATTTCCGTTACAACAAAAGAAGCGTTTTAGTGAGAAACTGCTTTTCTTGTCTGAATTACAATGACTGCCTGTGAAAAGCATGAAATGAATGTGACATTCCATACAGTTATGTGAGTTACATCAACTGCCTCCACTGCAGACACATGCCTACACATTCTTTTTAATAAAGTAAATAAAATGAGCCAGATTGCACATAATATGTTCAGGGACACAGTACGTCCTCAGGAGTCTGTGGTGAGAATGCTACCGTAGACTCTCTCCAGACTCCCAGGGGGTCATCAGCAAAATCGTACCCACAGAATGGGGATCTAGTTTGGGCTCTAAATCTCCCCCTGCCCTGACTTTCTAACCCTGAGGGAAGCCAAGCGTGAGCCTAATTTTTTAAATGCACCTGGGCTCCACCTAATCAAAACAACTGTAAGAACTGGATTCTGAATTTTTGAAAACACAGACGGTAGATTATCCTGAAAATAGAAGGAGCATTCTTTCTGAAGGAACTGATCCATCTGAACTGAACCGAACCATCAAACAGATATGATGATAGTTTGTTTTGACTTATTATTATGTATAAGTTCCTCCTAACTACTTAGAAAACAAATTTTAAAATACCAGTTGTTACTACAAAACACTTTTGAGAATGTGTATCTTAAAATTATATGTATAATTGTATTTATCAACTAATTATAATAGTAGTTTTGGGTCGGTAAGATTTTAATAAGATAAATTTATAATTTTACTCAGCAATGATGGATTAAGTAATAGTAAAGACATTCAAAATGAAAAAAGATCTATTTAAAAAAACTTCTGTTCTTTTGAACTTTTCATTCATCAAAGTATCCTGTAAAAAGATTTATCATGGTTTCCACAAAAATATTAAGCAGCACAACTGTTTTAAACATTGATAATAATAAAAAATGTTTCTTGAGCACCAAAATACCATATTAGAATGGTTTCTGAAGGATCATGTGACACTGAAGACTGGAGTAATGATACTGAAAATTCAGGTTTGCATCACAGGAATATTTTAAACTGAAAATAATTTTTCACAATATTTTTTTTTTTTACTGTATTTTTTAAACAAATAAATGCAACCTTGATGAGCATAAGAGACTTCTTTCAAAAACATTAAAAAAAAATTACCGACCCCAAACTTTTGAACGGTATTTTATAAATATTAACAAAATATTATATAAATATCCATTTAGTGAGTGAGTCGGATGTTTACTGCTCTGATGGTTTCAGCAGATTCAGTTCATTAGATGCAAACTTTCTGACCGATTCCTTAAAAGAAGTGTTCTTAAATATGACTACACTCGTTGGACTGTATGTTTGTTTTTGCCTGCAGTCAGTGAAGACAACACAATAGAAAGACATTTTCCCAGTCAGCAAAAACATTTTTTTTTTGCCGTGGTGCTGTAGAAAAGTTTCCCCACCCTGTTCCTGGAGGCACACCAACAGAACACATTTTCAAACTCTTCCTAATCAAACAAACCTTATTCAACTCATTAATTGAGACTCCACGGAATGAAATGGATGGGTCAGATACGATAAGATCCAAATGTGCACTGTTGATGTGCCTCCAGGAACAGGTTTGGGAAACTCTGCTGTAGAACAGAAGTGCATCAAATGTTAGTATAAGAGCATATTGGGACTATGGTTGAGTTTGATTAAATTCACTAAATATGAATCCAACTTATCAGCAAGATGCTATTAAAACATCTGTCTCAAAACTCACAAGTTGGAGGACAAGAAAGGATTGCAAAACTAGTCTAATGATGCACTCTTTAGGAAACTTAATTGCCTAATTAAAAGCACATAAAATAATCATGATACTCACACTATTTGTATAATACAGCATTCCTGCAGCTCAAACAGTAGCACAAGGTCATGGGTTCGATTCCCAGGGATATGCATGATAAAACATATACCTTGAATGTAAGTACCTTTTGAGCGTCTGCCAAATGAACAAGTAATGTCAGGATACTCTCTAGCTCTCTAGCACTGACAACACCTAGAACAAGGGATTTCAGCGTCCCCGTTCTCCTCCATCATTCAAATCAGTGGAAGAACAAACCCCAAATACACATTAAAGACCCCACGACACAAGTATTAAGGCCAAGGGATCTCACATCGGGTCTCTGGGGAAATCAGGCACAGGTCCAGTCCATGCTAATAAGCCCTTTTACCATCCCTGTCGTCCCACGGAGAGCGCCGCCCTCAGCTCCAATCAGAACGCCCGAGAACCACGCTGGGCGCAGGTTTAATGAGACTGCTCTTTCTGTTACTCAGGAGGGAACATTTGGGTCTGAATATCTAAAACCCAACTCCTGCCTGCCTTATACCTCCTGATGACACAGCGCTTTTCTGCTCTCTAAATGTAGCTGTCCATGGTGCTGAATCCTAATCAGTGGCGGCTCTCTGCATGTGTGTGATTCTGTGTGCATGTATTCATTCAGATCCGCAGGGGTCCAGAGTACATCAACCTACCGCGGGGCTACAGAAATGATGCTTTCAATATGTAGAGTTCAGATTGCCTTGAACTGCACTTCATTTGTCTGGTTAACCGTATAGTCTTACACCAGCCAGCTAATTTCTTCCATTTATCCTTCTGCCTCTGTTTATGCAATAATGGTAAAGAGGCATGCTTTTTTCTTTTGTCAGAGCAATCTGTGGCCTTATGTGTTTGTTTGAACAGCAGTGGTCTTGGTAACAGTTGTCATGCCAACCTCCGCCCCCAGTCTTTCCTTCTTCTCCTGTATCTTTGAAGCGGGGTTCCAATGCAGACCCATTCCGACCAATCACGGCAAAGCTCTTAGCAACACGGAGTAGTCACAGGGAATTAACTGTTTGCACTCTGCGTGTATCTATATGTCTTCTCCGTCAAAAACTCTGGCTTGCACTCTGCATGTGTGTGTCTGTGTGTGTGTGTGTGCGAGAGGGAGTATGCATTGGCATCTCCTGTGCGGGGGAGGAGGGACGCAGGTGGGAAAGATGGAGAGAAGTAGAGGGAGAGAGAGTCAAGCAAATGGAAAGATACGGACAGGGAAAGCGGAAGGTATACAGAGTTGCTATGAATAGATTTTTGCAGGCAAATCTCAGGTGACAGCGTAACTGATGAATAATATGATGCTGTAAAACATTCCTCTGTGCAGCTTTAATGAAGTCATACTGAATCAAGTACAAATTCCCATTTTAAGAACATTATGTTCATTAGTATCCACCAAACCCCTATTAGCATACTACAGCAGTACAGCTGACCCAATATGCTGTAGTAAAATGTAAATTTGCTCAGAAATCTCCAGTGAACACAAATCTTCAGAAAGCAAACTGATAATGACACTCAACACTGTTTGAATAAATAACATCAATTGCAAGCAAACACTCTTATGGAATGACTAGTTCAGTGCACACTCAAGTGCATGCTATCTTAACAGTTCAAATAATGGAAAGTAATTAAAGAGGTTCACATGCAGTGCTCACTTACCATACTGTCATAGTGGATTAATTCAAGCTCATAATCCGGAAGAATATCCGTTCTCTTGTTCACCAAATCCAGGGCCATTTGGGCAGCAGGGAGACATGCTTGGCCACCTGGCCATCCGCCGCTCATAGGGAACAGGGCTCCGATGTAGAGTTTCTTCTTGCCTAGAACCGGGCAAGACCAGGAGAACAGTAAAGTAAGGGTGGCCAAAATAAAGTAGGAAGTTGAAACCAAGCGCCGTCCTCTGCTGTGATGCTGCCAGGATAGTTTGGCCATAGTGAGCAAGAGTGTGTACCAACACAGTTTCTGTCCTTGATATTATTTTACATGAAAAGCAAAGCTGCAGTTGTTTGACAATAATTTTACTTTCATAGAAATATTTTAGGAAGTATAAATTTCATTCCCACTCAGTGTTGAAATTATTCAAAATCTCAAGTGATACCGCACTGTCAATTACCCTAAAGTTCTATAGACCTGTAATAGGCCTATACTTTTAGATGCACTAAAATACACTTTTACATTTTCAACTTGTTTGCGTTCAGGACGAAAACACAACCACGACATCGATGACGATTCAACGGAAAGTGGTTTCGTTTCCCAACTAAATTAAAATAGATGTGCGCAGAGGAAATTGCGTTAAAATTAGAAGCGTTAACAAAGGTAATCAAGACAGAAAAGTACTGAATTATTGCGTTCGCAAGCGGGTGTTTTACATGAACTGTTTTAAAATATACGAAGTTTCTAAGATTCACAAAAGTTTTAAGCATACAAAATTAGAACCGCGAAGTCAATTGATAATAAAATGACATTGAAAAATAACGTAGCTAACAACAGTCTAAAAGGCGGTCTAATATGTAACAACAGAAAACATTTACGCGGAATAACTAGCGCTGAAAAACAATAACAATCTGTCGTTGCCTCAATAGTTTTTAGTGCTGTATTCTTATACTCACGCTTTTCCTGAACCAAGAACAAATATAGCGGAAAATAATAATTATAACGTTTCAGGAAAGCGCAATGTTTACAAACGGTCGACTGGAATCCTCTGTGTGCGTCTTTAGAAAACGATACGTTTCGAAGTGATAACCGATTAGCGCTGAAAACCGGAGGACTAATGTCGTCGTGGTTGATTGGTATAAAATCCAGTACGGAAACAAAAGAAACGAATAAACGAAGTCACAGCAGTGAGTGTGTATGTGTTCGTTGGATGCAGCAGGAGACTGAGAGAGAGGGAGAATGTGCTGGGTTTATAGAGAGAGACAGCGCGCGCGCGCGCGTGAGAGAGGATGTGTATGTTCGTGTGAGAGAGAGATTGAGATAAACTGTGAGAGAAAAAGAGCTAGAAAGGAGTGTATGTGAGAGAGAGTCGTATATGTGTGGGGCTCATTTTCGCTCTCCGTTTCACAGAGCACTTTGAATTTGCAATCCCTTTAACACAACCACTCTGTTTTATTACCCACCCGTCTCCCACCTTCTTCTCCCCCAACTACACCCAAACCATCCGCCTCCGATCCACATTTTCCTTTCTATCACTGTCTCTTCCTCAGAAGTTAATTACAAAAACATTTTAATTTAATCAAGGTGGACCATGATGATAGCACTCCATATATGCAATAACGACTTCCTTCTGGCACACAATTGAATCCTGACAGCGTCACAATTTAGTCTCTGTTTTCATGTCACTCACTTTTTGTGTTGTTTTTCAATCAATATAAGGATTGAATGTATCCTGAATCATTTCAGACAGAAGCTGCTGTACACTACATTATGAATCACATGCTCCATTCCTCTCTCCCACACACCTTCATCTCCACTGCACCATCTATTTCCAAACTCCCAGCCACTGCTCACACTAATCCTGCACCTTACAGCAGATACATCGTGATAAACAGGATCCACAGGGGAATGTCTGTGTGCGCCTGACTGTAGTCTTCAATAATGTATCTCCAAACTGATGGGCTGACACGATCCTTCTCTTCCTCACCTTCCCCAGAACCCAATGTTTTTCCTCCAAGTGGAGTGCCATTTTTCTACTTGTTCAGTGGCTTCGGTAACACGTTCACCCTCTTACAAATCTTTAGAGTTGATGAGAATTCGCTACAGTTATCTATCTCGTTTCTCTTGCTCTGTTTATTCCCAGCACACTCTTGATTGATCTTGCAACTTCTCTCGCTTGCAAAAACTCAGCACAAGCCCAGTTACATCACATCGATACTCAAAGTTAGGCGTGACATGGGCCATGATCAAGCAGACTTTGAAATGAATAATGAAACTCCAGGCAGAAACATGAAATATGGCTTTCACTAGGTGCCTTGGGTAATTCAGATCGTTACAGCAATATATTTTTGCTGACATTCTGTCTCAAAGCTGATTAGCAATTCTGGAATCTACATGTTTTAAACAACAAGAGCTGCTTTTGTAAGCGAAGCACTTTAAGCCGAGTGAACTGAGAAATTTTAGGCCACCTTTCACCTTTCCGCTGTTTCTCTCTCTTGAACTGTTTCGATTTCCTCATTCTCATCAACATCAAAACCCAAAGGCGCTGGTTATATATCAGAGAACTTGTATTAGTGGCCTGGGGTTGTGCCACAAATGAAATACACCCATGTATGTGTGGTGCACGCAGAGAGGCGATTAGCCTCCAGGGCGGCGCTAGCGCTAAATTCTAGGCCAGTTTACCCAAAAGCCATTAATTCCTAAACAAAATGTCAAAACTTCATGAAATTAGGTAACCACATGCGACATGATTCTAAAAAAACATCCACGCTTTTATGGAGATCGCCGATAGGTGGCGCTATAACAGTAATAAAGGTGAAAATGCTGTATTTCAATGATACATTTTTAGAAATCTGAACTATGCAAATGTACTTTTTTTTTAATGGTTAACACACACATACACACACACTTTACTTAACATACACATAAATTGTAATGTCATTTAACACTGATGGATAAACAATATAAGGTAATGCTATTAAATAGCAGTCTCAAACTAGTATTTGTTATTACATTAATGTTAGTAAGTTGGTATGAATCACAGTCATCATCAACATAGAAAATAGCACAAAGTGAAAATAAAGTGGTATTTTGGGTTAAGGTTACAGAAACTACAGTTACCACAAATACAACAATTTACTGGTACGTTTTGGTAATTTCATGACTTACTAATTGACAATGTACTGTAACTTTAACGTTGCATGCTCGCTATTTCATATAGTGCGACTTTGCATTTGCGCACGCAATTGAAGAGCGTGTGCTACGAACACACGATAAAGTCTGACAGTACTGTAAAATTAGTTTGTCTGAGATAGAGACCTTTTTATTTAGTAACAAGTTAGTATTGTTAGCCAACAAGTTAGAAACTAAAATAATGTTAGAATAATGATACTAACATATAGACTGACAACATCTCATCTGACAGAAGATACTGAATCAGGCAACGTGTTTTTCTCAGCCAAGAGTTAACACCTTTCACGCAAGACTTTCTAAATAAAAGCATTGCATTAGAAAAACATTTAGATTTTTTTTTTTTTCTACGGTTGTTGTTGTTGTTTCTTTGACACTCCGCGACCCACTCAAAACAGTCTTGCGACCCACCAGTTGAGAAACACTTATCATCCTTGCCTCAATGTGTACAACTTTAATTTTATTTCCGTCATGAAAATTTTTCCCCCAAAATGGATTTTTGCGAAACCTACTTTTTTAGTCCAAGGTTTTTCGCCGGATTAGAACCAAACCAGTGCAAAAAGATTCCCTGTAATAAATAATTATCTAAAAAAGTCAAAACATTCGAAGTTGTCGAGGCTACTTTTGCTTTAGCCTATGGAGTGAGGGAGTTGGTGATAGTCTGAAATCACAGTCCATATGCTGTTAACTCGCCTCTTCTTTCGCTAATCAACACTGTGGTTGTTAATTTATTATTCACACTTGTTCTTATGGAATGGATTCTGATCTAATTGGTATGCTAATATTAATGTTGCTGCCTCTGGCAGAGCTTCAGTTGCCAACCAACCAGACGGACCAGTGATATTATCTAGGAAAAAAAAAACCTTAGCTAAATAAATATGTCATTAACTATTCTGGGCCATTTTCTATCGATTTCCTCTTGGATATATGATAGGGGTTTCCAATATTCCTGGAGGGCCACCATCCCGCAAAGTCCCTTGAGGTTTGTTGTAATCCTGAAGACCCTGATTAGCTGTTTTAGAAGGAGATATTGGCGTGCACCTAACCCAGGTTTTCTTACTTGTCCTAACATATTGAAAAGCCAGCTCTGCTGCAGCATACTATTGTTTCTCTAGTGTATAGACCTTATGTAGCCCCGCCGCTTTTCAGCGCTGCGCTCGTTGTCTTTTGTCTTCCGGTCTGTATTTTCACAGTGATCTTGCGTATTCATGAATGAACGGCTCATTTTAAAATCTTCCCGGTCCAATGACATTTGGTAAGACATCTGCTCTAACATTACAATCCTCATGATAACTTTTGTTAACTTTACATTAAGTAAATCCACTTCAAAAGCGAATTACTCCTGGACAGCGATGCCATAGAGATATACAGAGCGGCCGCAAAAACGGAAGTTCAAAGACAATATTCTAAAGATGGCAGCGCCCTTGTTTCTCTGGCGCATAAGGTCTTTAGTATGTAAAATAAGTTTTTCTCTGTTTTTTTTATTTCAATGGCACTTTTATCTCAATGGCACAAAAAGTCAATTTCATGGTTTAAGTGCCCTCCAAAACTGAAAATAAATACCTATTATATTTAAATTAAATATTTCTTATTTAAATGTTGCTTAATTGCAAAAAAAAAAAAACTTTGTCAGAATGCACACATATATTTGAATGCGCACTGCCCACAGCAACATAGTGTCAGCCCAGATGTGGCCCACATCTGGTACATGTCTTATGGGTTTGGAGCACATAACGAGGGTGAGTAAATTATGACAATTTTCTGTAATTTTTGGGTAATTACAACGGGAATGTTTGCAAGAGTCAGTGATTTTGTAGATCAAAATTAAAAGAAATAATCACAATTGTGATTTTTTCATTACCATGCAGCTCCAGTTAGTATACAGTATATTTACTGTGCAGTAAGCACTACGCTGGTATTCCATCTTTGCCAAAATCGAGAGAGAACTCTTCTTTTTCACTGTCCTTCTATTGCTGTC